CAGCATATACGAGGGTTCTTTTTTCCCCACATCCTTGCCAACACCTGTTATTAGTGGTATTTTTAATGACGGCTATTCTAACAGGGGTGAGCTGGAATCTTAATGTGGTTTTGATTTGCATTTCCTTTATGACTAGAGATGGTGAGCATTTTTTCATGTGTTTTTTGGCCATTTGAATTTCTTCTTTTGAGAAAGTTCTGTTTAGTTCACTTGCCCATTTCTTTATTGGTTCATTAATTTTAGGAGAGTTTACAATAGCCTCAAAAAAATCAAATACACTTAACAAAGGATGTGAATGATCTCTACAAGAAGAACTACAAACCCCTGAAGAAAGAGATTGAGGAAGACTACAGAAGGTGGAGAGATCTCCCATGCTCATGGATTGGTAGAAGCAACATAGGAAAAATGGCTATACTATCAAGCAATCTACATGTTTAATGCAATTCCCATCAAAATCCCAGTGACATTCATCACAGAAATTGAAAAATCTACAATAAAATTCATTTGGAAACACAAGAGACCGCAAATAGACAAGGCAATACTTAGCAAAAAGACCAATGCTGGAAGTATCACAATACCCAACTTCAAACTATATTACAAAGCAATAGCAATAAAAACAGCATGGTACTGGCACAAAAACAGACATGAAGACCAGTGGAACAGAATAGAGGACCCGGATATGAATCCACACAACTATGCCCACCTTATTTTTGACAAAGGTGCTAAAAATATACAATGGAGAAAAGACAGCCTCTTCATCAAATGTTGTTGGGAAAAGTCTGAAACTAGATCCATGTCTATCACCCTGTACTAGTATCAACTCAAAATGGATCAAGGACCTTAATATTCGACCCGAAACTCTAAAGTTGGTACAGGAAAGAGCAGGAAACACTCTGGAAGTGATAGGTATAGGCAAGGAATTCTTCAATAGAACCCAGCAGCTCAGCAACTAGAAGAAAGTATAGACAAATGGGACTTCATAAAACTAAGAAGCCTCTGCACAACAAAAGAGATGGTCTTTAAACTGAAGAGACCACACACAGAGTGGGAGAAAATATTTGCAAGCTACACATCAGACAAAGGACTGATAACCAGAATATACATGGAGCTCAAAAAACTAAATTCTCCCCAAAATTAGTTTCCTTCTTTTACCCTACCTCTCTTTTATGTGACTTCCCCTTAGTGTGACCATGTTTTCATAACATTGCTGCATTTGTGTTAGGTCTATATTCCACATATGAGAAGAACATGTGGCTTTTGGCCTTCTGAGCCTGGCTAACTTCACTTAAGATGATGGAAGAACAGATTGTTTGGTGCATCAATTTTCCGCATTTCTTACAGTACTCTTCTCTTTCCGTATATTGAAGATTCTCACCCATATGTATTGGTGAGCTATGTATACATATCTGTATCCAGATAGATGTAGATATATCCCAGTGTGTATCTATTATCTATCTATCCATTGATCTATCCATCTATCTATATCTATCTATCCATCCATCTATACACTATGTAAATAAACATATACATAGTGTATGTAAGTGCATATAAAATAGACTCCTGACATTTGACATTCGACTTCATGAATCCTCAAATCTGTGCCTGTGAAAATTGTATTCATTTCTAACTTTTCCTTGAACCATCTGCTTTTTTTTAAATTAGAAGTCACTTATTTGCACTACATAAAACCTTAAGTCAAAAATTAGAGATATCATCAGCTTTTAGGAAGATTTTCAATTACTTAGACTTTTTATATGTCAAAAATTCCCACTTTTTAAAAAAGTCATTTTATGAAAGTAAGGGCATTTGTGGTAATAAATAAAGAATTAGAAAAACCACATGAGAGCCAAATGCTAGGCAGACTTTGTGAGTGATGTCTGCTTATGTACTAGTTTGGGAGCTGCTTTTGCATATCGACCCAAGCCTCCTGGCCTCTGCAGTATCTCAATTCTACATGGCATAAATCTTTAGGTTTTGCTGGTCAAACCTGCAAATATGAAGTCATTAAATGCATGGCATTTTGGAATAAGTTATATGGCTGATAATATTTAACACTTCATGTTTTCACCAAGTTCTTTATCTCTCAAGGAAAAGCAAGATAATTCATATCTTACCAAACCCTAGTCTTAAATTACAAAGTGTATGATAAAGTTCCCTACTGTCAAATTTTAACACTCAGCTTTGAATTCCCATTGCAAATTTATACTTGGTTTACCAATTAAAATGGGCTTTTGTGAGTCCCCTGCTGATAGCCACTGGCTTGATAAAAAGTAACTTCATTTGCAGCTAGGGTATTTAGGGAACCCAGTGCAAAGCTGACTCTTTTCCTGTTGCCTTAAGCCCACTGTGCTGAAATATTAAACTTTAGTAAATTAGGTAAAATTGCAGCTTCAAGGCTGATACGATAATGCCCTTCTCTTTTTGTCTGCAAACCATCTTTAGCTTGAGTTTTCTGTACAATCCTTCTGCAATGAGAGAAATAAAATTCAGAATATCTTCTAAATCCAGACAACTCTTCCATTCTCAAAATAATTGTGCCATACACATTTACTTAGCAGAGGGCTTAAAGTCTCAAATATGTAGAATTGTATTGCTATATTATTTTAGCTCTATCAGATTCTAGCAGTACATTATTATGTCATATCCAGATAAGCAACTGAGCCTAAAAAGGTCAGTCTTACATAAAAGTAGCAGTGTTTTCTTTCTTGATTAGTACTTATTTTAACAAAGTGGTGAGCAGTAGAAGGAAATCATTTTTAGTTACATTTATTTCTATCTTCTTGCTCCATTTTCTCTTGAAGAATAGCATTAGTTTTAGAGTGTTTTTTATTCATTGACCAAATATTTATTGATCAACTGCTGTGTGCAAAGTTCTGGTTTATTTTCAACCAAATATTTTTAGAGTACCTGCAGAATTAGCAGAAAGGGACTAGGCAATCTTGTATTTATCTTCTTGACATATGTTGTTATTTTTTTCTTCTGACAAAATCACTGGCAACAGCTTTATTTAGCTTCATTGCCTATTTGTTCCTCAACAGGCTTTCACACTTCTCTTTCAGGTTAAGAACTTACACCTTTAGGATACTTAGCAGGGAAGCAGCAAGCTAATTAAAATATAAATATTTTTGTTATTTGGGAAAGTAACTCATAATGTTAAATCATGAAAGCTTTTATAAAGTTTAAACTTTTTTCAAAATACTTTTATCAAGGTACTCCCAAAATGGAGTCCAAGGGTTGCTTTTGGAAAAGTCTCAAATCTAGTCAAAAATAGAATGACTAGTCTAATGAGTGCTCAACAACCATCATGAGGTTTTAGTTTTGTCAGTGTTCCTTACAAGTCCAGAGTTAGAAATAGATCTTAAGAAATTTGCTCAGTAGGGACCTTGGGCAGTCCATGGGCCATGTGTGGCCAAGATAGTTTAGGGCTGACTGAAAAAGTTGAGACCTATTTCTAAATAAAGTAACTGGAGAGCAGACTGTATCACATTGTAATTGGCTCACTCTCATGTGATAAATGAGATACTAATCAACACGATTCAAACAGGAGCCTGAAAAGTGCTTCCTGTCTTTTCTTGTAAAGACTGGAATCCTATCATGAGAGATCTATCCTTATAACCTGATCATTTCCCAAAGACCCAACTTCCAAAAACAATCACATTCCAGATTAGGGCTTCAACATAAGCATTTGGGAGGAACGAAAGCATTCAGTGCGTGGGAAATAAAACAAAAACTTCACACAAGTTAAATTCAGCGGTCTATTTGAGCAAAGGAGGATTCATGAATCAGGCAGCATTCAGAATCACAAGAGGTTGAGCGAGTTCTGCCAAGCAGTGTTAGCTGCAAGCTTTTATAGGTGGTGGTGCTAGGGAGGGACACCTGTTCAGAAGAGGAATCACCTGACTAGCTATAGTTAAGTGGCTGCCTTATTTGGGCATAGTATTATGAGTTGGCTGCTTATGACTGGCTGAAACCTGGTTGCCTGAGTTTGTCTGAAATTCAGGGGTTGGTTGTATACCTAAATTAGGTTCCAGGTTGGTTTAGGTAGGAATTCAAAATATAGACATAGCCTCAGGCTAATTGGTATTTTCCCATCAGTAGGCAATTTTTTTTTTTTTTTTTGGCTGGGAAGTGTCAGCTAATAAGTATTTTAGGTTTTGAGAGCTACAGAATCTCTGTCACCACTACTCAGTTCTGCCCTTGTAGTCCACCTGCAGCAATAAATCACACAAAGTAATGAACATGGAGGTGCCCCAATAAAACTATTCACAAAAACAGACAGGGGGTGGATATGATCGACCGACTCGGGGTGGTTTGTCACCAGCAAAGATTTCATGGTCCTTGGTATTCATTAGCCATCTCCGGAAATCTGGTTTACACAAGGCGAGGTTACTCTTCATGCAGTGCGGTGATCCATCCAACAGCCACCAAGTCCCCAGCAGCCTTTATGCGTGGGAGGATCTAGCCAAGCGTCTCAACAGTTTTCAAAGTTTTTTAAATGGGTCCTTCCTTTCCTCCTCTCGGTCCTTTTAAGCCCTCACTCTCAGAGGCTGCGACCCAGATAGAGAGCGTGTGGCGTGATCGGGTGGGCAGCTTGCGCTCCCGAGAAGCCACGCGGACACTCGGGGAGAAGGTGAGGGCGCGGAAAAGTTGGAGCCCAATCAGCACGGAGTTGAGCTCGCGCGCCCCAACCTTCAGGTGACCCCGCGCGGCGGCGGCGGCGGCGGCAGAGGCAGCGGCGGCTGCAGCGAGCGACCAGAGCCCGCAGCAGCTCGAAGCGCCTCCGGGAGGACAGGCGGCGAGCTCGGCGAATCGTCGCTGCCAGCCAAGCGCCGAGCTTCGGCGGCCCGGGCTGGGTGGAAGAAGCGAGAAGAGCGAGCGAGCAGGTCAGGGGACTCGGCTTCTTCCTCTCCCCGCCAAGACTGTGCAGGCTGGGCTCCGGGCGCCCCGCGGAGTGCGGGCCCACGCCGCGCGCCGTCATCGCCCCTCGCCGCCGCCTTTGGACACTGGGGGTGTGCGTGGCTGCGGCCGCGGTGGCGGCGGCTGCGGCGGCGGCGGGAGCGGCGAATCGGAGCCGCCCGGGCTGCGCTCCGTCGCCCCGGCAGCCGCGGCGGCGCCGGCGTCCGTGGCTCAGAATGCGGCCGGGGGGCGCGCTGCTCGCCCTGTTCGTCAGCCTACTGCTGTTGCTGCTGATGCGCCTGCTGTGGTGCCCGGCCGATGCGCCCGCCAGCTCCAGGTAACCCCCGGCCCCAGCCCGCCCACCTCCAGGTCCCGCGCACCCTGCCCGTGCGCCCCGCCGTGCGCTCCCGGAGCCTCGGAGCGCAGATCGGCTCGGCTGGCGGGCGCAGGGAACCAGAGGATGGGCAGTGGCTGCTTGAGGGTGGGGTGGGACTGGGAGGTCGCACAAAGGCGACCCTTGGACCAGTGGACACCGTACGATGGAGAAGGACCCGTCAGGGTGTAAGCGCTCCAGTGTTCATCACTGAGGGTGAGGGAGCTGCGGAGCGGGACCTGCCGTCGAGTTCCCCGTCAAGCTCCCGGGGCTCTCCATTCTGATCCTTGCTGTCCCTTCCTTCCCGCCCTAAGGCTTTTCCAACTCCGGGGGGTGGGGACTGGTCCCGGGAGTCGTGGTGCGCAAGGATGCCCCGGCCAGGTTGCCAGCCAACCGCTCCCAGCGAGGCGGTTGTCACAACTTAGTTTTCTCCCTGATCATGTAGGCTTTTGGTGGAGGAAAGCAGGGAGGACACCCGTGGCATTGGCACCTCCGCGGCGCTGAGGACGCTCAGGAGCCCGGCGACCCCGGTACCGCGCACCACGAACAGGTACTGCGTGGATGGGGGACCAGGCTGCACTTGCAGGACTTGAGTTGTCTGGTGTGGAGGGGGGGAGGGGGAGGTTAGAGAAACTCTCTCAACCTTTTAAAGCCCGGCCCTCCCTGTCAGTTCTTCACCCAAGGGAGATATTAAAACAGCAGCACTTAAAAGATGGGTGCCCAGTCCACTAATAATGGTGTGTGAAAACCCAGAAGCCGCTCAGCTCAGCCTGTCTTTATTGAGGAATTTGGTTGGTTTGCCTTTTGTTTTCTATGCTTTAAAGTGCACCAGTGTTAAGATTCAGGTTGGGAGGAATGGAATTTTTCCGTGTGCTCTCAGTGTGCTTGTCCTTAGTGAATGAAGACTTACACTTTTTCTTTATCGAATGGATATTAATCCATATACAATAGTTTTTTGATTCTATGTTTTTTTCTAATATAAAATAACATAACTTAGTGCAGAAAGTAAACAAGAGCAACGTATACAAGAAAAATACTCGCTCATAGTCCCAGCATCCACAGACAATATTCATGTTTGTTTTGGTCTCTTTCCTTCTAGCAATATTTCTTTTTTGTCCCCTATCTTTAAAAACGTTTTTGAGATTGTATTTTGTAGGGGTTTTTTTCCCCCTAAACACTTCTTTTCCCTTCTAAACAATCATAGACCTAAAAAAATCGTAACTTTCCCCCAAACGTTGCTTTTGGTTATTGAATTATTCGTCATTTGAATGTTCTATAATCTGACTGTTTTAATTTTTAGATATTTAGGTGGATTCCCTTTTTTGTTTTGTTTTCTTTGCCTTAAAATGTCTATTAAATCCATCCTTGTATGTACATCTTTATCTTCATTTTCAAATTAATTCTCCAGGATGGACTGTTAGGGGTTGGATTATTAAGTCAAAGAGTATGTGCATTTAAGATTCTAAATCACATTTCTGATTGCTTTCTAGAAGGGTCGAATGGATTGATGTTTTCAGCAATAGAATGCACTGCATCCTCCCTCTGCCTTGCTGTTGTTATTGCAATCTTATATACTATCTCTTGTTCCCTTTTTCCCCTTATGAGTCCCCTGTCTTCTGTGAATCTTCCTTTCTATTCTGAGCTCTGGATCCACCCCAATTTTCTAATTGCATGACTGCAGTCTTCTTCCTACATGGCTCTGACATGGCCCTAAGAAAGGTCTGGAAGTATCTGGATGAAACATTGGAGTGAGGTGTAACATTTCTTGTCACAATCCCCCCACTGGAATTTTATACTTTATTACAGGCCCTAAGAAATTCTGGAACAACAAAAGCTTCTGAGAAAAACACTGGTGTATAGTTTTATTTTATGTAGTTTGTACATACAGGTGGTCTAGCTTCCCCTATGAACTGTGGCTCATTCCATCTTTCCCCAAGTCACGGGACTATCATAGGTACTGGGGGTGCCCCTTTGGGAAAGTTTGAAAGCCTGTACTCATTAAATGATCTGGTCCAGCTCTTTTTTTCGAGGCAGTACTTTGATGAATTTTTCAGTTTCTTTTGGCATACTTCTTTTCTTGGCATACTTCTTGAACTATAATATCAGTAATTCATATTTTTTGAATGTGGTCCATTTTACTAAGATTTTTTCATTTATACCATACTGCTGTTTGTAAAAAACCTCTCTGTCCTTTGGTCTATCCTATATCCCTTTTATCATTGATTATTTTGATTACTTATGTAGCAGGGGAGCAAATTTTAGGTCACCGTTCCACTTGGCTGTGCAGAGAAAGGGCAGTTTCTTCATTTTTCTGTAGCTAGTCTGAACTTCCTCATTAATGGTGTGATAATAATAAGGGTAGCCAACACCTAATGAACTGTTCTTATGGGGAAGACTTATACTTATTAACTCATTTAATCCTTAAAAATGTTAAGAGGAACCATTATCCTCATTTTATAGATGAGGAAACTAAAGCACAGGGAAATTAAGTAAATTGATCAAAGTCACAGAGTTAACAAATTGTCCAGGCAGAAGTTAAACCCAGGCCACTTGGATCTAGAATCCCACCCTCTTGACTCCCCACTGTGCATCCTTTTATAGGTGCTTGGCGAGTTGGGGGGAGGTGTGCCTAGATGTGGTATTGCAAGCAGCACTTTCTGCTAATATTTTTTCTCTCTGGGAGCACATGTGGTCTCTCATTTCGCTTCCACCCTCTCTTTTCACTTTACGGTGACGTTTAGATGTATGGGGAAAAGGGGCGTAGATGCTGTAGTGGTAGAGGTAAGAGTTGGAGTGCAAGGCCATGCTATACTTTGACTCCTTTAATCTACAAAGTGATGTCCCTTTTCTCTTTGGTGGCCAGGCACCCTGTCAGTAGGGAGTTATGAAAGACGTGCAGGTTGTGGTTTGTTCTTGTTCCTCAAATGTTGCATGTGCTGGCCTTTCCTTGCAGGAACTCTGAATGCCCACCACACTGCCTCTCTGGGATCCCTTGAAGATTTTTTTTTGATCCTGTCCTAGAGTGGCACTGCAACATCTGCTGAAGTGTGGTCTCACTCAGCAATAGCTAGCTAGCTCCACAGCCAGACTCTCAGTGACTTCTGCATGCCATCTAAACATACAAGAAAATGGATGACTCAGGAAATTAACACCAAGGCCTCTCTCCACCTGCCCCACCCTACTTGTAAGATAATTTTAAGACAGGGTGCCTAAAAGGTGGTCTATCTATTTCCAGAAATTAATTAGAGAAGGAGGCAGCCCTCCTCTCCCCTCTTCTTTTCCTTGGCATTACTTGTAATTTCCCCCACCTTTCTTTCTCCAAGCCAAAACTCTCCTTTGCCTTTTTCTCTCCTAATCTCGCCCTTATTCATGCTGGAAATGTCATGCTTTCCTCTGCTTCACACTTTCCTTGCCCTGACTCTCATCTTTAGGCCTGACTAGAACCTAAACTTTAATATAAATTGTGGGGAGCAAAAGAAAGGGACTGGGAAAACTCAGGGACGGGTCTCCAGGTGAGGCGGTTCATAGGATAAAGAGGACAAAGGAGGAATTGGAAAATCTTCTCCTGGAGCTGCAGTAAATTCTAGTTTGTTTGTCTACAGTAAAATGATACCTTATACTTTCTCTTTGCATCCCTTCAGAACAGTCTTGCTTTCTCCATTATCCCTGAAAGGATGGTCCAAATTGCCCATGGAAAGGTCATGAACTAAGAAAGACAAAAGAGAAGATATATTAGTAGTTTTCAAAATAGGACCCCTCTTTCAAAAAAGCTTTGTCAAAGTCTGCCATTGGCTTTCTTGTGAAACAATGAGCTTTTGAATTTATTTCTTAATTCTGATGTATTCCTGTATCCTATTTTTTGTGTTCCTTTTTAATTTTAAAATGTAATTCTTTTTTCCCAAAGTAATGATAATGTCTTGAAGTGCATGCTTGATTTTTTTATGTAACTTCTCTCTTACATTGTAAGAAAAATATCTAATGCTATGATTTTTCCTTTGGATGCAGCTTTGGACTCATTTATTTTTATTCTTTTTTATGATTTGGTGATAGTAAGGATTAAACCCACTTGTATGCTAGGTAAGTGCTCTACCACTGAGCTATATTCCCAGTTCTGGACTCATTTCTTATGTTTGAATATGTAAGGGTTCAGATTTTGGAAATATATTCTAAGTTGTTATAATTATATTTAATTTAAAAAATTTTGTCTTAGTTATTTGGGATATTAGTTTTAAATTTTCAAGTAGTTGGAATTTTTCTCAATTATTAATTTAATATTTTCTCAAGTAATACTAATTTCTTTTTTTATTATAAACAAAATCCAATATAAACACTGCCACAATGTCATAAATAACTCCCAAATAGTCACTTATTAGAAATGAAGAGTTAGGTTATTGTGGGGCTAATGAAATTGTCAGCACAAAACTGTGTGACTATCTAAGTTGGAGTTCCAGGGTTCCTCCATGGGAACTATCACATCCTGGCTATGATTTGACACCTTTTTAATGGTAGTCATTCATTTTGCTTTCACATCAGTGGTGATGATCTAGGATCTTGTGACTAGCAGGGATTTTCATTCTCTGAATGTCCTGGTTAGTTGGTACCTGTTTTAGCCCATCTGAGATGGTTAGACAATGAGTTTTCCATGGATGTGGGGACCACTGCTCTTCCACCTCTGTTTTCCTAGGGCGATTTGCTCGCTTGTTCCCTTACTGACCTTTTTCTTCCTTCCTGTGATCCTTCTTTCCTGCATAAGTACTTTCATTTGTTCCAGCTTGAGAATGGGGCTAGGCAGATACAAGTGTCAATTATACTATGTCCAAGTTCACATCATGGTAGGGAGTGCCATTGTAGGGGCCTCATTACATGTATTTAGATGAACCCAAAGAAAAGGAAAACTGCCTGTCTTTCAACACCCAAGATGGCCACTATTCATATTTTGTTACCTTTTCAATATGTTCATATGCATATATGTAGTAATTTTCTTAGGTAGTAACTTTTTTTTAAACAACATCTCAACTTTTCTCCCTGTCGTTAGTATTCCTCTGCAAGGTAGTGGACCATGTAAATACATCCTAATTTAATTATTCTTACCTTTTGTATTCCAGGGTTATTCATTGTCTTTGATTTTGATTTATACTCTAACATGAATAACTTTAGATTCTTGCATACATTCTTGGTTATTTGGATAAATTACTAGAAGTGGATGTACTGCATCATGGAATATATGAAATTATAAAATGTTATAAGGACTGTTCCAACGATTTCTCACAATGCTTGTTCTAATTTTAGCAGTTTGTGAGAGTGACTGTTGACCCAAAACAAACTCTTTCCAGTACTATACATTAGATTTTTTCATTATTTCCTAATTTAATCCTCAAGATAAAAAATTGATGTCTTAATTTGTATTTGTTTACCATTGTGCTTAATTTTTAAGATATTTGTTGGCTATTTGAATTTTTTTCTTTTCTAAATTGGCTTTTTATATCTTTATTTATCTTTCCATTAAGATATTCTGTTTTGTATTGATTTATGAGAGGCTTATATATATCA